GGGCGGCCGTCAACGTATCTGGGCCCGTCACTGGGCGGCCGTCAACGTATCTGGGCCCGTCACTGGGCGGCCGTCAACGTATCTGGACCCGTCACTGGGCGGCCGTCAACGTATCTGGGCCCGTCACTGGGCGGCTGTCACTGGGCGGCCGTCAACGTATCTGGACCCGTCACTGGGCGGCTGTCACTGGGCAGCCGTCAATGTATCTGGGCCCGTCACTGGGCGGCCGTCAACGTATCTGGACCCGTCACTGGGCGGCTGTCACTGGGCAGCCGTCAATGTATCTGGGCCCGTCACTGGGCGGCCGTCAACGTATCTGGACCCGTCACTGGGCGGCTGTCACTGGGCAGCCATCAATGTATCTCGGCGGCCTTTAACGTATCTGGGCCTGTCACTGGGCGGCCATTAACGTACCTCGGCGGCCTGCCCAAGGAAAATCAGCGTGTGAGTAACGCTGGCGTATAAATCAAAGAAAAGTTTGACCCAGAATCAGATGTTTCTGAGCATGTTTGTTGCCATTTCCTGTGTACTGAACAAATAATGCTGATTGAAAGATCGTGCAGTAATCTGCTGCTCAGCTGAGCAGAAACTGGAAGTGTCTGTTGAAGGTTGACGTGTTTGTTCGTTGTCTCTGGAGGAGACGGCAGGATGGATTCTCCATCTCTGCATCAGAAATTTTGTTGTTGTCGCAGCTGATGGTCTGAAGGCTGTACTTCCTCCTGGAGCTGCAGCGAGAGGCTGACAGGAGCACTTTGTTCCCACTCGTGTACACTTACTCATCTGGCAGACTCGTTTATTCAAAGCAACTTAAATGTGAGGAGCAACACAGAAGCATCAGTATAGTAACACACCAAACTAATCGATTAATCGTGGAAATGATGGACAGATTAATGGATAATGAGTGACAGCAGATCCCAGTGAGAGCTGCTCGTACAGCACCGGTGGGTAAAGACCTGGAGGAAGAAGGAAGAGTTAACGACTAGTCCAATCACTACAGGAGAGCTGTGAGGATGTCAGAGGTGTTATCAGAGGAAGTGTTCTCTGCAGAGTGTTCAGGAGCTTCTTGGAGTCAGAGAGGGACGCCGCTGCTCTGATGGCGTGCGGCAGCTCGTTCCACCATCGTGGGGTCACAGATGAGAACAAGGACTGAGGTCGCTTTGTGTGAAGGGAGGCAGAGCCAGGCGGCGTTCGTTGGAGGAGCGCAGTGGCCCAGAAGGAACGTAGGCTTGGATTATGGAGTTTAGGTAGATGGTGCAGACCCAGGAGGAGCTCTGGATGCAGCATCAGGGACTTGGATTAGATTCTGGAGGCCTCAGGGAGCCAGTGGAGGTCCCTGAGTGATGGAGGGACATGAGTCCTTTTGGGCTGATCAGAAACCAGACGGGCTGCTGGGCTCTGAACCATGAGTAGTGGTTACACCACAAAAGCTGGAAGACCCGCCAGGAGGGCAGAGGGGTAACCATGGCCTGGACCAGGAGCTGGGTGGCGTGCTGAGGAAGGTGGACCTGATACAACATGAACGCAGCGTTAGCTTGTTTTAGCAGTTAGCGTTACAGACAGTCCAAGGGTTTAATGTTAACACTGGTTAGCGTGCGCGCACACAGAGAGACGGTCAGGTTCAGCAGGGTGATGGATGGTCCAGGGAAACCGTAGTCCAGTTAGAGAAACTCTATCTGTCTGCCCAGCTGTCTCTCTCTCTCTCTCCGGTCCATCTGTCGACCTCCCCTCTCCGGGCTCCCCCTCAGCTCAGCAGGCTAATTAGCTAATGTGCTGATCTTTCACCGCCTCTCTGTGTTTCTGAGTGTGTGTTTCTGAGTGTGTGTGTTTCTGAGTGTGTGTGTGTGTGTGTGTGTGTGTGCGTTACTGAGTGTGCGTTACTGAGTGTGTGTGTGTTTCTGAGTGTGTGTGTGTGTGCGTTACTGAGTGTGTGTGTTTCTGAGTGTGTGTGTGTGCGTTACTGAGTGTGTGTGTGTTTCTGAGTGTGTGTGTGTGTTGTGTGTGCGTTACTGAGTGTGCGTTACTGAGTGTGTGTTTGTGTGTGTGCGTGTGTGTGCGTTACTGAGTGTGTGTGTGTTTGTGTGTTACTGAGTGTGTGTGTGTGTGTTTGTGTGTTTCTGAGTGTGTGAGTGTGTGTGTGTGTGTTTCTGAGTGTGTGAGTGTGTGTGTGTGTTTCTGAGTGTGTGAGTGTGTGTTGTGTGTTTCTGAGTGTGTGAGTGTGTGTGTGTGTGTTTCTGAGTGTGTGAGTGTGTGTTTGTGTGTTTCTGAGTGTGTGAGTGTGTGTTTGTGTTTCTGAGTGTGTGTGTGTGTGTTTCTGAGTGTGTGTCTGTGTGTGTGTGTGTGTTTCTGAGTGTGTGAGTGTGTGTGTGTGTGTTTCTGAGTGTGTCACAGGGTTAATTGTTGGACTCGCCTTTCTGTCCTTTCTCTGCCACCGGAGTAAAAACCTTGTTTCTTCTGTCTGTGACTCTCCCTCTTCTTCTGCTGTCTCATTAGACGCAGTCAGCCGGCGTCGAGCTGATCCACGCCACTCTCATATCCCATATTACTGTCATCAGGCTGCTGCTGATCGACGTGGCTGGAAATGCGTTTGACACGAGAAGAGTTCATCTGAGCGGGTGGACGGTTCGTCAGGTCCTTCTTCACGTGGCTTCATGAAGCCTGGACCGCCACTCGGACACTTCCTGTCTGCTGGATGTAAATCACAGCGAGGACGCTGTCGATCGCAGATTCTCTTCCCATTGGGGGATTTCAGAGCTGAATCTGCTGGAACCGTCACTTTGTCGACACGTGTTGAAATGAGCTGAGTTGTGATGCAGTAACGTACTCAGCAGGGACGTGAACGCTGTGTTTCCATTTGTTTGCAGAGGAACGTGTGGCAGGACGCACGCGTGCAGCAACATGAATGAGACTTCAGGAGTTTCTGGGTCGCTCTGCTGCAGCGAACATTTCATAGGGCAGTTTGTTGTCTGTGTGAGTTTCCCACCGACTATATAAGAAGTGGGCGTAGTCATGGTGACGTCACCCGTTGGTTTGTGGACTGCCGTTTTGAAGCCTCAAGTTTGGCCGATAGGGCGCTATGCTAGCTGGCGGTGAGCCGGCTAACTTCCTGTTTAGCCCTTCGCTAACTTGACTGGGTGTTTAAATAATGGCGGCGTTCCGTCGGGAGATGCAGTTAATCAAAGTGACGGCGAGAAAAGTATAAATCAGGTGTTGTGCTGAGTTCTGCGTGGACCTGGCGGGACGTCACGCTCATAAGTGCTGAGAGGTGGAAGTAAATCTGGGCAGGTTGCCTCGAACATCTGTGCTTTGACATCTCGGTCCTTTTCAGACACTCAGCTGATCAAGTTGATCAAAGTGGAATCCAATACTGATGACTCTAAACGTTCATAAAATATTTACTTTGAATCATTTATCACCATTAATGAACCCCACAAAGAATATTATGGTGTTTTAATCTCATCTTGGCTCGAGCTGAACGACACATGCAGCGGCCTGGATGAACAGCGTGCGGCTTCTGTTAACTTATTTTTATAATTGTTAGAAGCCAAAATCAAAATCCTGATTGAAATTCGATTCATCGCACAGCCTCACTGCGGCGAACCTGGCTTCAGATCGCTTCCTGTTGGCTCAGAAGAAATGGTGCTACCAAGCCGACCAATCATCGCAACGTGTAGCCACCTTTACACGTGCACGTTTACCAGCAGGCGTTCCTGTTTCAGAACAGGTTAGAATATACTGTGATGGTGCTGCAGATCAAACTAAAGCTGGTGTCTGACGGCAGAACTCTCAGATAATCCAGTAATGTCAGAAATGAGACGGGAAATAAAAGTCTGACGTCCGCGTTCACTCTCTCACGTTCTCCTGCTGATCAGTGTGTCTGATGTGAGGTGAGGGTCGTTCCCACGGTGACTTGGGTTCTGGTTTTAGTGTGGAGTGGCGTTTCGGGGAGTTTTAGGGGAAACGGTTACAAAGTGTGTTGTGATCAGAGCTGTCAGTCAAACGTAAACAGAGCAGAAATGGCCGCCAGCGTGAGAGTGAAGTTTCCATCCAGCTCAGTGTTACTGGAGCTGCTGAAGCTCTGAGAGAATCATGGAGGAGGCAGACGGAAACAGATCAATAACTCAGACACTGGCTGCTGTCGGACGAATCCTCTGTGTGTGCTGGAGCTTTTTTTTTAATGATGCCAGCGTTTAAGCTCCTCGTCAGACGTAGCGCTGCAACGATTAGTCCACGTAATCGACGACGGTGATCATGAAAAAATCGTCGACGCCTCCACTGCCTGACTGTGAGACTGCTCACGAAGAAGAAGCTTTCGCATGAGAAGCGGAAAGCAACGGAGAAAGAGGCGAACGGCAGAACGGCTTTTGTGTTTTTACAAGTTGTGCACGCTGTTTCATCACTAAATACACTTTTGAAAAGTTTTAAGGTGAGAAATCGTCTGCGTAGAATTTGAATATTGGCAGTTTTGTAAAAGTTGATGGCGAATTGAAAACGTATAAATGAATAGTAAACCTCGTTCACTTAACGGTAACGTTAGCTCGTTGGGCTGTGTGTTGGACATCACTGATTCACTTGAAAGATATTCATTAGTAAAATGGTTTAATTAGCGTTGGGTTTGGGGGGGGGCAAAAATAATTGTGACTAATCGAATAAATAATTAAAAGGTCCACAACGAAAATAATCATTAGTGTCAGACAGAGGTGAAGGAGCAGAAACGTGTTTGACTCCAGCGGGCAGACCAGGACGCGAGTCCAATCACTGAGTTACCCGTCAGACCATGTGACGTCATGTTTGCTCTGTGAGCCGCTGTGAATGTGGTGACGGGCGGTGACGCCGCTGTCCACTTACTTTTGGCCATATGGTGTAAAGACAATGTGTGAATGTCCCTGACAGGCTTCTGTAGATGGACGAGTCAATATTTTATCAGACAATTTAAGAAAGATGCACTAACCTCCCCCTCTCTCCCCCCTCCCCCTCTCTCCCCCCCCCCCCCCCCCCCCCAGTCATGCCCCATTGAAGCTGACTCTTCATCAGACCTGCAGCCAACTCTTCTCTCCTCCCCTCCTCTCCTCCTCCATCCCTCCATCCTCTCCTCCTCTCTCTGTCCACCATGCTCCCATCCTCCTCCTCCTCCTCTCCTCTCCTCCTCTTCCTTCTCCTCTCCCTCCTCCTCCTCTTCTCCCCCCTCCTCTCTGCCCCAGCTGTTCCTCCCCCTCCCTCCGTGGCGTCGAGCAGGGCGGCGTACAGAGCGTTCGACACCTCGCTCACCCACCTGACCGTCCACCGGAGGACAGGTGAGGTGTTCGTAGGCGCTGTCAACAGAGTGCTGAAGCTATCGGCCAATCTGACGGAGCTGAGGAGTCACATGACCGGACCTGTGGAGGACAATGCCAAGTGTTACCCTCCACCTAGCGTCAGGGCCTGCGCTCACAGGTCTGTCCACACCTGAACACGCACACCTGTCTGTCCACACCTGAACACGCACACCTGTCTGTCCACACCTGAACACGCACACCTGTCTGTCCGCACCTGAACACGCACACCTGTCTCTCCACACCTGTCTGTCCGCACCTGAACACGCACACCTGTCTGTCCACACCTGTCTGTCCACACCTGTCTGTCCGCACCTGAACACGCACACCTGTCTGTCCACACCTGAACACGCACACCTGTCTGCCCACACCTGTCTGTCCACACCTGAACACGCACACCTGTCTGTCCACACCTGAACACGCACACCTGTCTGTCCACACCTGAACACGCACACCTGTCTGTCCACACCTGTCTGTCCGCACCTGAACACGTACGTCTGTCTCTCCACACCTGTCTGTCCGCACCTGAACACGCACACCTGTCTGTCCACACTTGTCTGTCCGCACCTGAACACGCACACCTGTCTGTCCACACTTGTCTGTCCGCACCTGAACACGCACACCTGTCTGTCCACACCTGTCTGTCCGCACCTGAACACGTACGTCTGTCTCTCCACACCTGTCTGTCCGCACCTGAACACGCACACCTGTCTGTCCACACTTGTCTGTCCGCACCTGAACACGCACACCTGTCTGTCCGCACCTGAACACGCACACCTGTCTGTCCGCACCTGAACACGCACACCTGTCTGTCCACACCTGTCTGTCCGCACCTGAACACGCACGTCTGTCTGTCCACACCTGTCTGTCCGCACCTGAACACGCACGTCTGTCTGTCCGCACCTGAACACGCACACCTGTCTGTCCGCACCTGAACACGCACACCTGTCTGTCCACACCTGTCTGTCCGCACCTGAACACGCACGTCTGTCTGTCCGCACCTGAACACGCACACCTGTCTGTCCGCACCTGTCTGTCCACACCTGTCTGTCCGCACCTGAACACGCACACCTGTCTGTCCGCACCTGAACACGCACACCTGTCTGTCCGCACCTGAACACGCACGTCTGTCTGTCCGCACCTGTCTGTCCGCACCTGAACACGCACGTCTGTCTGTCCGCACCTGAACACGCACGTCTGTCTGTCCGCACCTGTCTATCCGCACCTGAACACGCACACCTGTCTGTCCGCACCTGAACACGCACACCTGTCTGTCCACACCTGTCTGTCCGCACCTGTCTGCCCGCACCTGAACACGCACACCTGTCTGTCCGCACACCTGTCTGTCCGCACCTGAACACGCACACCTGTCTGTCCGCACCTGTCTGTCCACACCTGTCTGTCCGCACCTGAACACGCACACCTGTCTGGAAGGTTAGTAGCCAGGTCACCTGTCTGTCTGCTCACCTGTGTCCCTGCCCTCAGGCTGGACTCGTTGGATAACGTGAACAAGCTATTACTGGTGGATTATACTGGGAACAGACTGGTGGCGTGCGGCTCGATATGGCAGGGCGTGTGTCAGTTCCTCAGACTGGAGGATCTCTTCAAACTGGGAGAGCCGCATCATCGCAAAGAACACTACCTCTCTGGAGCCAGAGAGGCTGATGGGATGGCAGGTAATATGGGGACGGGGTCAGATATACTTGAACAGGTAGACAATTAAGAGAGAGATTATTTGGGACAGACCAAGCCTCCACAGCAGCATGCTTAGCAACAGAAATCTTCCACCAAAGCGCTAACTGCTAACCAAGCTAACGTTAACGCCATAGCCTGTATAAAAATGGACGTAGTGTCTGTGATGTCACCCGTAGGTTTCTGAAGAGCGGTTTTAAAACTCAAAGCAGGCGTGGCAGGCTGTCGCCATCCTGGCAGCGCGTCACTCCCGGATAACCACAAATGGGCAAAGAGGCGGGGTGTGGGCGGAGCTGAGGCGCTTCGTTGCTGAAACCATGCCCACCTAGCTTAATGCTAAAGAGGCTAAGAAGGCTATATGCTACCCTGCGTTGCTAGCCGGTGTCTTGGCAAAAAGTGATCGTCGGCCATAAAATGACTATCGATGAATATAAGTCTACAGATGTTTTTATCTGGATGAAACAGTCACAACATGCAAATACACAGAACTTTATGTCGGTGGTAAAAGCAAAGGTTTGTCTTCGTGAAACTTTTGTTTCTTGTAACCAAAGAGACAGCACTTCTTCCTGGGGGTTTATTTTTGAAGTTTTTGAGTTTGCTGCTCGGTTAATTCCCAGGAAGGTAGCAAAACGTAACTGCTAGCCAAGGCTAGTGGTAATTCCTGAGATGGTCATGAACGCTAACTAAATTCTTGGATGTCTTCCCCAGGTTGGTACTTCTGCTAGCAAGCTAATCTACTAGCATGTTAACTCTTGGTTGGCCACAGTGGCATTAAGCTAGCTCTCTTTATTAACTGGTAAATCAGGATGGTTGTTTCTAAGCTAACCGTTTCCCCCTGCCTTCAGTCTTTGGCTTGAAGTCTTGATTAGCGGTCTTGTAGCGGTTAGCTACAAACACCAAATATAACAGTAGGCATGCTAGTTATTTTTAACTAGCATAACCGGACACATGCTAACTGTGTTTTGGCTAGTAGCGGACTTCTATACAGTCACACTTCTTTCTGCAGCCGGTGGAGTTGCCCCCTGCTGGCTGCTAGAGAGGATGCAGGTTTAAGGCTCTTCAGACCGGGAGGTTCCTGCTTGGTATCACGGTTAGTTCCAGGAACTCGTCCCAAAGTGATCTGAGAACCAGAGACACAACCACAGCTGAAATTATGTTTCGTCAGTTGAAAAGGGTTCTAGGTTCCTGATTGGTTAATTCGGATGGTCATATTGAAGGAGAGACCTGTCAATCATCTGCAGGTAGAAAGCACATCTGTGTGAAAAGAAGGTGTCATGAATCTGTCCTTCCTCTCCAGGTGTGGTTGTCGGTGAGGACGACTGGACGGCCGACCCTAAGAGAAAGAAGCCCGTGAAGGGAGGGAGCCGCCTGTTCATCGGCGCCGCTATCGACGGGAAGTCTGAGTACTTCCCCACGCTGTCCAGCAGGAAGCTGGTGGCGGACGAGGAGAGCGTCAACATGTTCTCGCTGGTCTACCAGGACGAGTTTGTCTCCTCGCAGATCAAGATCCCGTCAGACACGCTGTCCCTCTACCCGGCCTTTGACATCTACTATGTCTACGGTTTCTCCAGCCGCACGTACGTCTACTTCCTGACTCTGCAGCTGGACACGCAGCTGACGCAGATGGACGCCGGCGGGGAGAAGTTCTTCACCTCTAAGATCGTCCGGATGTGTTCCAACGACACCGAGTTCTACTCGTATGTGGAGTTTCCTCTGGGCTGCACCAAAGACGGGGTGGAGTACCGGCTGGTGCAGGCCGCCTACAAACAGAAACCAGGGCGGCGGCTGGCCCACGCCCTCGGCCTGTCCGAGGACGACGACGTCCTGTTCGTCGTCTTCTCACAGGTGAACTACCTTCGGCGTCCTTCGTTCTGATTGGAAGTCTGTCAGCTGGTCTTTCATTTCTTTAGTTTTCTGTACTATTTTATTTTGATAATTTGTTCTTTCTTTGTTTTTCTTTTATATTTTCGTCGTTTTATGAGATTTTTCTTGTACCTGATGTTTTATTTCCTTTTTCTTTTCTTCCCCATGTTAGGCTTTTTATTTTTCCCTCTTTAATTCTTTCTAATAACATTTTTAGTATTTAAAAAATTACTTTTCTCTGTCTGTCATTGATCAGGATCAGAATCAGAAGGAGCTTTATTGCCAAGTAGTGTTTTAAACATACAAGGAATTTGCTTTGGTGACAAGGTGCTACACGCAGACAGACATACAGCTGACATAAATGATCGACTGATTTGTTCAGACGTGAATAATAATAATACTACTTCCTGCGGCCTCTCTGTGTTTCAGGGTCAGAAGAACCGCTCGAACCCCCCCAGAGAGACGGTCCTGTGTCTGTTCACGCTCCACGACATCAACCTGGCCATGAGGGAGAGGATCCGCTCCTGTTACCGAGGCGAGGGCCGCCTCTCCTTACCGTGGTTACTGAACAAGGAGCTGCCCTGCATCCACACGGTGAGTCTCACCCCGAGCATCACGGACCAGAACCAGAACCCCAGGAACCTGTCCTCAGTTGCAGCCCTAGTCTCCTGACTGTAAACAAACGAGCAGCTTCTCGGTTAATGATGCGTTAGGTCCAGAAATATCCTCAAACATCTTGTTTTGTCGCCAACCCAAAGATGTTCAGCTGTCTCTGAATCTCCTCTGTCAGCGTTTGAGAATCTGGAATCTTTAAAACAAGAATTCAATTTATCGATTATCAAAACAGTTGTCGATGAATTGAGTAGCTGACAGCTGAGCAGTTAATTGACTGATAGTTGCTGCTGTGTTTGAGGTGATCAGAGCCTTAGTGAGAATGACACCATGGTGGCTGGTCTGACAGCACGCCGTCAGGAAGGCGTCCTCATGTTGAGCTTCTAACCAGAAGCCTGTTAGCAAACACGGCCGGAGGTGCTCGTCAGTTGTGACGCCGCCCTCAGGGGAGCAGCAGAAAACCCGGTCCTAACGGGGACGCCGGTGTCCCTGTGCACGCTCTGATGAAGTTTCTTGATGAATCAGACCCGTGTAATGCAGCAGGTCTGTGGTGGGGTTACTTCAGGTCGGTGGGGAGTGTTTCTTATTCATGGCGGCGATCGCCTTCAGTGGTAACCACGGCAACGGAGCAGGGAAACCCGCCAGGAGACAAGTCCAGAGGCCCGCGAAGGGGAAGGGGGGTAGGGAGAGGACCAACCAACTAACCAACCAATCACAGCCAATCAGCCACACGCTGACGAAATACGAGCTGATGACCATGCTGGAGTGTGTGTGTGTGTGTGTGTGTGTGTGTGGTACTGTAGCGTGTGTGTGTGTGGGGGGGGGGTACTGTAGCGCGTGTGTGTGTGTGTGTGTGTGTGTGTGTGGTACTGTAGCGCGTGTGTGTGGGGGGGGGGGTACTGTAGCGCGTGTGTGTGTGTGTGTGTGGTACTGTAGCGTGTGTGTGTGTGTGGTACTGTAGCGTGTGTGTGTGTGGGGGGGTACTGTAGCGCGTGTGTGTGTGTGTGTGTGTACTGTAGCGCGTGTGTGTGGGGGGGGGGGTACTGTAGCGCGTGTGTGTGTGTGTGGTACTGTAGCGTGTGTGTGTGTGTGTGGTACTGTAGAGTGTGTGTGTGTGTGTGTGTTACTGTAGAGTGTGTGTGTGCGTGTGTGTGTGCGTGTGTGTGTGGTACTGTAGCGTGCGTGTGTGTGTGGTACTGTAGCGTGCGTGTGTGTGTGGTACTGTAGCGTGTGTGTGTGTGTGTGGGGGGGGGGGGGGTACTGTAGCGCGTGTGTGTTGGGGGCAAAGACAGAGGAGGCGGGGCCAGTGTCCATATCTGACCTCCTTCTGTCATCATAAACAGCAGGGAGTGTGAGTGTGTCTCGTTTTCCATAAAGCGCCACCAGCAGTCCGTCTGACCGCCTGCCTGTCTGTCTGTCTGTAACACCCGGGTCGAGTGTGAGTGCGTCACATGTTTCAGGTCTCAGCTTCATCACGTGTAGCTCACCTGAGCGGTTCCACTTTACTGACGATGAGGAACCAGAACATGTGACCGCTGATGAACAGACCTCCTGTTACCAGTGTTACTCAGGAACTGTACGGGGTATTAAAAACAATTAGTGATGTTACTGGGGTGGTGATGGGGCAGTGGATAAGATACATGCCTTTGGTGTGAGAGACCTGGGTTCAATCCCCCACTGTGACCCATCCACCAATGTGTCCCTTGTGGCTCCAGAGGCGTGCGACCTCTGACATGTGTAGCAGCTGTAAGTCGCTTTTATCTAAAGCGTCAGCTGAATGTAATAAATGTAAACTATGTCCGGGTCCGGCTTCTGGACTTGAACTGTCCCTGATCTGCAGCGCAACAAAACAAGTGGTGTCCTGGTAACGCAGCCCAACTTGGATTAGTTACTGTAATAATATTACTGTAATAATATTACAGTAACACGGCTCGTTACACTGGGAACAAAACATCTTACCATTTCCAGCCGCCACAAATAGAGACGTCACTTTCAGATGACGAGCGTCAGATCAGCTGTTAACTCAGACCAAAGATCCTCTGAGAGTGAAGAGTCTCCGCTCTGTAACTCCTCTGTAGTCCAGCAGAGACTCCAGTCAGACTTCCACTCGGATCAGATCAATCATTGAAGCTGATCAGCTTTATATTGTGAGTCAGGTCCTTCGGTGTGGGGATCAGATTTGGTGTCTGCCGCTCGTTAAATGTGTCAGAGACACAATTAATCTTCTGGTAATTAAAGACTCAGATGTCATATTGATCAGTACGTCCCGAGAAAAACAAACACATCAAGCTGCCGGCTGGAGACACTGACCCGAACAGTGATGAGCCGCGCACCAGGCCCCAGCAGCTTCGCGCACCGGGCCCCAGCAGCTTCGCGCATCGGGCCCCAGCAGCTTCGCGCACCGGGCCCCAGCAGCTTCGCGCACCGGGCCCCAGCAGCTTCGCGCACCGGGCCCCAGCAGCTTCGCGCACCGGGCCCCAGCAGCTTCGTGAGCACATCACTTGGTACAAAAGAAATCGTTGTCCGGTCACTTTTCTTGATAGAAGGCTGTTATGTTCTGAGTCTGTGGACATTTTCTCACGTTGAGATATTTAAGGCACAGGGGCGTGTGGCTGATTGACAGGTGTAGCAGCCTATCACAGTGAGCTGCCTCTGCCCACAGATGTCTGATTTCTCAATGATGTTAAACGTGTTAACACAACATTTGATAATCAGCTGCTGGATTTGGCAACTTTGAAGACCCCAGCAGCACGTTCAGTCGACCAATCAGCAGCCAGACAGAAACGTGAAACGACCAATCACTGATCTCGTTTTTCTCCTCAATGATTTAACTTGAATGTTGACAGTTTATTCCAGAGGCTGATCCTCTCTCTTATAGATATATATACTGTGTACCAGAGTGTATATTACAGCGTATAAATACTGCATGTGTATCTATAGAAATAAATCGTGTTACTTCAGTCACCACATCAGCCTTCAGAAATTAGATTATTGGGATTTTGAAGTTGATATCTCCTTTTATTGATCCCCCCCCCCCTCCTCCCTCCCCCCCGCTCTCTCCCTCCCCTCTCCCTCCCCTCCCTCCCTCCTCTCTCCTCCCTGTCCCTCCCTCCCCCCTCTCCCCCCTCTCCCTCTTCTCCCTCCCCTCCCTCCCCCCTCTTCTCCCTCCCCTCTCTCCTCCCTCCTCTCTCCCCCCCCCCGCTCTCTCCCTCCCCTCTGTCTTCCCTCCCCTCCCTCCTCTCTCCTCCCCCCCTGCTCTCTCCCTCCCCTCTGTCTCCCCTCCCTCCCTCCTCTCCCCCCTCTCCCTCCCCTCTCTCCTCCCTCCTCTCTCCTCCCCCCCTGCTCTCTCCCTCCCCTCTGTCTCCCCTCCCTCCCTCCTCTCCCCCCTCACCCTCCCCTCTCTCCTCCCTCCTCTCTCCTCCCCCCTCTCCTCCCTCCTCTCTCCTCCGCCCCTGCTCTCTCCCTCCCCTCTGTCTCCCCTCCCTCCCTCCTCTCCCCCTCCCTCCCTGTCCCTCCCTCCCTCCTCTCCCTCCTCTCCCTCCCCTCCCTCCCCCCTCCCCTCCCTGTTCTCTCCCTCCCCTCTGTCTCCCCTCCCTCCCTCCTCTCCCCCCTCTCCCTCCCCTCCCTCCTCTCTCCTCCCCCCTCCTCTCTCCTCCCCCCCTGCTCTCTCCCTCCCCTCTCCTCCCCCCTCCCTCTCTCCTCCCTCCCCTCTCTCCTCCCTCCTCTCTCCTCCTCCCCCCCTGCTCTCTCCCTCCCCTCCCTCCCTCCTCTCTCCTCCCTGTCCCTCCCTCCCCCCTCTCCCCCCTCTCCCTCTTCTCCCTCCCCTCCCTCCCCTCTCTCCTCCCTCCCCTCTCTCCTCCCTCCCTCCTCTCTCCCCCCCCCCCCGCTCTCTCCCTCCCCTCGTCTTCCCTCCCCTCCCTCCTCTCTCCTCCCCCCCCTCCCTCCTCTCTCCTCCCCCCCCTCCTCTCTCCTCCCCCCCTGCTCTCTCCCTCCCCTCTGTCTCCCCTCCCTCCCTCCTCTCCCCCCTCTCTCTCCTCTCTCCTCCCCCCCTGCTCTCTCCCTCCCCTCTGTCTCCCCTCCCTCCCTCCTCTCCCCCCTCACCCTCCCCCCTCTCCTCCCTCCTCTCTCCTCCCCCCTCTCCTCCCTCCTCTCTCCTCCGCCCCTGCTCTCTCCCTCCCCTCTGTCTCCCCTCCCTCCCTCCTCTCCCCCCCCTCCCTGTCCCTCCCTCCCCCCTCTCCCTCCTCTCCCTCCCCTCCCTGCTCTCTCCCTCCCCTCTGTCTCCCCTCCCTCCCTCCTCTCCCCCCTCTCCCTCCCCCCCCTCCTCTCTCCTCCCCCCCTGCTCTCTCCCTCCCCTCTGTCTCCCCTCCCTCTCTCCTCCCTCCCCTCTCTCCTCCCTCCCCTCTCTCCTCCCTCCTCTCTCCTCCCCCCCTGCTCTCTCCCTCCCCTCTGTCTCCCCCCTCTCCCTCCCCTCTCTCCTCCTCCTCTCTCCTCCCCCCCCTGCTCTCTCCCTCCCCTCTGTCTCCCCTCCCTCCCTCCTCTCCCCCATCTCCCTCCCCTCCCTCCTCTCTCCTCCCCCCCTGCTCTCTCCCCCCCCTCTGTCTCCCCTCCCTCCCTCCTCTCCCCTCTCTCCTCCTCCCTCTCTCCTCCCCCCCTGCTCTCTCCCTCCCCTCTGTCTCCCCTCCCTCCCTCCTCTCCCCCCTCTCCCTCCCCTCTCTCCTCTCCCTCCTCTCCCTCCCCTCCTCTCTCTCCTCCTCTCCCTCTCTCCTCCCTCCTCTCTCCTCCCCCCCTGCTCTCTCCCTCCCCTCTGTCTCCCCCCCTCCCTCCTCTCCCCCCTCTCTCTCTCTCCTCTCCCCCCCCTGCTCTCTCCCTCCCCTCTCCCTCCCCTCCCTCCCTCCTCTCCCCCCTCACCCTCCCCCCTCTCCTCCCTCCTCTCTCCTCCCCCCTCTCCTCCCTCCTCTCTCCTCCGCCCCTGCTCTCTCCCTCCCCTCTGTCTCCCCTCCCTCCCTCCTCTCCCCCTCCCTCCCTGTCCCTCCCTCCCCCCTCTCCCTCCTCTCCCTCCCCTCCCTGCTCTCTCCCTCCCCTCTGTCTCCCCTCCCTCCCTCCTCTCCCCCCTCTCCCTCCCCCCCCTCCTCTCTCCTCCCCCCCTCCTCTCTCCTCCCCCCCTGCTCTCTCCCTCCCCTCTGTCTCCCCTCCCTCTCTCCTCCCTCCCCTCTCTCCTCCCTCCCCTCTCTCCTCCCTCCTCTCTCCTCCCCCCCTGCTCTCTCCCTCCCCTCTGTCTCCCCCCTCTCCCTCCCCTCTCTCCTCCCTCCTCTCTCCTCCCCCCCTGCTCTCTCCCTCCCCTCTGTCTCCCCTCCCTCCCTCCTCTCCCCCATCTCCCTCCCCTCCCTCCTCTCTCCTCCCCCCCTGCTCTCTCCCCCCCCCCTGTCTCCCCTCCCTCCCTCCTCTCCCCTCTCTCCTCCCTCCTCTCTCCTCCCCCCCTGCTCTCTCCCTCCCCTCTGTCTCCCCTCCCTCCCTCCTCTCCCCCCTCTCCCTCCCCTCTCTCCCTCCCCTCTCTCCTCCACAGCCGAAGCAGATCGGAGATGATTTCTGTGGTCTGGTGTTGAACCAGCCGCTTGGAGGTCTGAGGGTCATCGAGGGAAACCCGCTGTACGAGGACCGCACGGAGGGCATGGGCGCCGTGGCGGCGTACACCTACGGAGAACACACGGTGGTGTTCGTGGGAACGCGCAGCGGGCAGCTGAAGAAGGTAGGATGGTGGGATGGCTGATGGATGATGGATGGTGGATGTTGATGATCCTGAGGGATGAAGAAGGAGCGAAGGTGTTGGGCTGAGACGAGAGCTGCGGAGAGAAAATGGCTGCGTGAACGCTGTCGGCTCTTTGACTGCTTTCTGCTATTTTCATTCACGGAGCAGAGAGATGAGAAGAAATGATTGATGTTTAAAGTCACTGCAGGCGCTTTGCGTCTGATGGTCGAGATGTTTCCTGTCGGCCATCTTGAAACAAACGGACTGCTTCTGTTTGTTTGAATATCGGTCGGTGGGAGTGAAGTTTAAACTCGTGGACGCGCTGTGTCGGAGTTGGTGCTCAGCAGCGCTCCCTAGATCTCTGTGTACTTGCATTTACTCGTGTACAGCACTCACATCCTGCTCCGTGTTCAGAGACACATGTTCTGTAATCGGTCTGACCGTGATGATCAGCAGCAGCAGCAGGGATCTGAAAAGGCCCCGCCTCTGATATCTGCAGCTGAAAATAAGGCCGCTTTGTTTTGCTTCCATAACACAGAAAGGCAGCCGGACGGTTTCCAGGGTTTGAGTTGGAGGCTGACAGACAGCAGAGATCAGAGAGGGTTCAGGCTGAAAAATGTCCCACTTAGCAGCAGAGTCTGTTTTCTGTCTCTGTAAAGACCGAGTCCGTCCTCTCTGCACCGTGCGGAGGACGCTAAGGCTTTTCATCTTAATGATTTTTAATCATCTTTGCTCAGAGACGCAGGGACTCCTGTGCTGAACGATCGATCCACCTGCTGGGCGGTTCGTCCAATCACTTCTTTGGTTTAGAGTGAGAATCTCCCAGCAGATATTCTCAAGCGGGGATTCCTGACTATTTTGATGACTTCCTGACTTTTCCTCTCAAGCAAACATTTGAAAGTAAAATATCCACTAAGAACTTTGGGATGTGATCAGTTTCAGCAGTTTCATTTTGTGGGTTTCTTCAGTCGTTATCGTGCAAGAAAAACGCTCCGCATGCTGGTCAGTCTTGTTTACTAACTCGTCAGTAATAAACAACAACCAGTTCAACATTTCTAAACTTTGCTGTGGTGCATCAACCTTTTTGAATGTCCCGCCTCCTACAGGCTGCGATTGGTCGGTTCATGACAAGTGACTGACGAGCTTGATGCATGAAAGGCTCCCGATCTCCCTGCGGAGATCTGCAGGCAGGACAGAACGGGAACAACTGAGCGTCACATGGAGCCCAGAGAACCTGATCTGGAGAGGACCAAGGCCGGTACGCCAAAGACTAAAATGTAAAAGGGACAGTAGCGGTGAACACCGGCACATTCCTGCACAAACGGCTTTTATATTGTGAGAAATAACAGGAAGTCATTAGTGCGAGTGTTCAGGCGCTGCTGCAGGTGTAAACACAGCAGCTGATGAGAGGAGGCGTCTGCTGAAGACGTCATATTTACGTTGATGTTCTGCTCGCTCAGAAGTTCTTTGATAAATGGCAATTAAAACGCATTCAGAGAATATTTGAGATGCTTTTTTTCAATTCGGATCATTTTGGCGCTCGCTAAAACCTCTTTGGGGGGCGCCAAAAATTTCTCTATGCAGGAAAAACCCCGGTTGACGCTCCGCGAACATGGTCTTGTTGTGTTGGACAGAAGGAAACGTTCATCAGCGGCCATCGTCTCTGTCTGCAGCCGAGCGAGGGAGCGCTGCATTTTAATGGGCTGAGCAGGAGAAATGGAGGCCGGGGGAAGTGAACGAATCCTCACGGCGGTCACCTCGCTCACCTCTCCTCCCACACAGCTGCTGCTTCAATATTCATCCAGAGGGGGAGATACTCCTCTGAAAGCCGAGAGGGAGGGAGAGAGTGAAAGCAAGAGAGAGGGAGGGAGGGAGAGAAAGCAAGAGAGAGGGAGGGAGGGAGAGAAAGCAAGAGAGAGGGAGGGAGGGAGAGAAAGCAAGAGAGAGGGAGGGAGGGAGAGAAAGCGAGAGAGGGAGGGAGGGAGGGAGAGAAAGCAAGAGAGGGAGGGAGGGAGGGAGAGAAAGCAAGAGAGGGAGGGAGGGAGGGAGAGAAAGCGAGAGAGGGAGGGAGGGAGGGAGAGAAAGCGAGAGAGGGAGGGAGGGAGGGAGAGAAAGCAAGAGAGGGAGGGAGGGAGGGAGAGAAAGCGAGAGAGGGAGGGAGGGAGGGAGAGAAAGCAAGAGAGAGAGGGAGGGAGGGAGGGAGAGAAAGCAAGAGAGAGAGGGTGGGAGGGAGGGAGAGAAAGCAAGAGAGAGGGAGGGAGGGAGGGAGAGAGGGAGGGAGGGAGAGAAAGCAAGAGAGAGGGAGGGAGGGAGGGAGGGAGAGAAAGTGAGAGAGGGTGGGAGGGAGGGAGAGAAAGCAAGAGAGAGGGAGGGAGGGAGGGAGAGAGGGAGGGAGGGAGAGAAAGCAAGAGAGAGGGAGGGAGGGAGGGAGGGAGAGAAAGTGAGAGAGGGAGGGAGGGGGGGGGAGAGAGAGGGAGAGAGAGGGGAGGGAGGGAGGGAGGGAGGGGGGGGGGGTAGCTGGAGGTGCAGTATGTAGCGACCAGCTCGGTGGAAATGGCTGAGTTTGGTTTGTAGGTGTTGGCTGAGAACACTTGTTCTATGTTTAGTGAAGAAACCTGCTCCTCCTCCTGCTCCTGCTTCTCCTTCTGCTCCTCCAGAACAATTAAATGAAGCTAAACACGAGGTTAGTCCAACACTGTTCAAACTGATACAGCAGAAGAAGAGCAGCACATCTTTAATTTACTTGGAAAGTTTCGCTCAGTTCCTGATAGAGGGTTAACGTCTCCCTGCGGCTGCAGACGACGGCCTTTATAGGAAGTAGAGGTTTGCATCTTCACTGGTCTCACGATTCGATTATCAGGTACGGGGGTACGGGGCTTCGTGTACGGGGGTGCGGGGCTTCGTGTACGGGGGTGCGGGGCTTCGTGTACGGGGGTGCGGGGCTTCGTGTACAGGGGTACGGGGCTACGGGTACGGGGGTATGTGTACGGGGGTACGTGTACGGGGGTACGTGTACGGGGCTTCGTGTACGGGGCTTCGTGTACGGGGGTACGTGTACGGGGGTACGGGGCTACGGGTACGGGGGTACGTGTACGGGGGTACGGGGCTACGGGGCTACGGGGCTACGGGTACGGGGGTACGTGTACGGGGCTACGTGTACGGGGGTACGAGTCTAAGTATACGGGGCTAAGGGGCTACGTGTACGGGGGTACGGGGCTAAGGGGCTACGTGTACGGGGCTACGTGTACGGGGCTACGTGTACGGGGCTACGTGTACGGGGCTACGTGTACGGGGGTACGGGGCTAAGGGGCTACGTGTATGGGGCTACGTGTATGGGGCTACGTGTACGGGGCTACGTGTACGGGGCTAAGGGGCTACGTGTACGGGGCTACGTGTGCGGGGGTACGGGGCTACGTGTGCGGGGGTACGGGGCTACGTGTGCGGGGGTACGGGGCTACGTGTGCGGGGGTACGGGGCTACGTGTACGGGGGTACGGGGCTACGTGTACGGGGCTAAGGGGTTACGTGTACGGGGGTACGGGGGTACGGGTCTACGTGTACGGGGGTACGGGTCTAAGTATACGGGGCTAAGGGGCTACGTGTACGGGGTACGTGTATGGGGCTACGTGTACGGGGCTAAGGGGCTACGTGTACGGGGGTACGGGGCTAAGGGGCTATGTGTACGGGGCTACGTGTACGGGGCTAAGGGGCTACGTGTACGGGGGTACGGGGCTACGTGTACGGGGGTACGTGTACGGGGCTAAGGGGCTAAGTGTACGGGGGTACGGGGCTAAGGGGCTAAGTGTACGGGGCTAAGGGGCTAAGTGTACGGGGGTACGGGGCTAAGTGTACGGGGCTAAGGGGCTAAGTGTACGGGGCTAAGGGGCTAAGTGTACGGGGGTACGGGGCTACGTGTACGGGGCTAAGGGGCTAAGTGTACGGGGGTACGGGGCTAAGTGTACGGGGCTAAGTGTACTGGGGTACGGGGCTAAGGGGCTAAGTGTACGGGGCTAAGGGGCTAAGTGTACGGGGGTACGGGGCTAAGTGTACGGGGCTAAGGGGCTAAGTGTACGGGGGTACGGGGCTAAGTGTACGGGGCTAAGGGGCTAAGTGTACGGGGCTAAGGGGCTAAGTGTACTGGGGTACGAGGCTATGGGTATGCTGAGCCGTCGGTTCGATGCAGAAGTATAAATCAGTCTTTAGAGCATGATGATGTTTCTGAGACTCAGAATGTCTCGTCGGGTTGGAGAGAAGCTCGGTGTGAGCAGATTGACATTTGGACGGAGCTGAACTGCTTCTGTCTCCTCCTGCTTCCAGTCTTTATGCTAAGTCCAGTCTGGAGCTGTATTTAGTGTAGGTAAATAAATAGTTTGTCCTTTGAGGAGTCGGCGGAGGTCTGTCTGTGCGGTGGTTCAGCTGGTCCTGCTGCAGGACCGTCCTCAGAGGCCTCTACGGTCCACATTCCTCTCACACGGAGCTCTCTGCTCTGCTGCTTGCTCTCTGTTATGACAGAAGGAAAACCAACAAGTCGTAACTCAAACTCTCTGTTGACTTTATCTCCGTTTGTCAGGCTGTTTTCCTCTCTGTCCGTCTTCTTTCTGTCCTCTGCTGCGTCTCTGGGGTTTGTCTGATTCCTTTCTACTCCGCTCGCCATGTCTTCATCCTGCTGCTGGATAAAAGCCGCCAGGAAATCAAGATGAAGTGAAACTCCTGCAGAGTTTATTTAGCTTCAGAGGTCGCCGCACTGCAGAGCCTGTTAGCGTTTAAAGATGAATCAGTGTCGGCCGGTTTTCACTTTAGCTCACTACAGTGTCAGAGTACTGCCGTGACCTCGCCTGTCCTCCGAAGGTCAGAACAATCTGAGCGGGGAAACGTTGGTACGCTGGTTATATTAAACCAGTTCTAACTCTGGTGCAGAGCGAGGAACAAACAGGAAGTGGATGTGGCCCTGAAACCTGAAGCAGCTCTGGTAGAGAGCCACACGGGGACGTGTGGTTTGTG